AATAAAATAAAATAAAGAAAGGCAAGGCGGGGCGGGGCGGGGCAGGGGTGAGGCAAAAAGAAAAAAAAAAAAAAGAAAAAATAAATATTGATGTGTCAAATACTTCCTTGTAACAAATGTGCTATTCAGGTTTTGGTGTAGTTTTCTCTTTCTTTCAACTTTTATTTTAGAAACAGGGGGTGGAAGTGCAGGTGCAGGTTTGATATATGAATATATGGCACCCAGGTAGCAAGCACAGTACCCAATGGAGTTTTTTCAACCCATTTCCCTACCTCCTCTACCGGTCTGCAGTGTCTGTTGTTCCCATTTTATGTGCATGAGTGTTCAATGTTGAGCTCCCACTTGTAAGTGAGAACATGCAGTATCTGGTTTTCTGTTTCTGCCTTAATTCACTTAGGATTATGGCCTCTAGTCCACCCATGTTGCTGCAAAAGACATGCTTTCACTCTTTTTTTATGGTTGTGTAATTATTCCATGGTGTATATGTACCACATTTTATTTATCCAATCCACCATTGTTGGGCACCTAAGTTGATTCCCTGTCACTGCTGTTGTGAATAGTCCAACAACAAACGTACGAGTGCATGTGCTTTTTTCATATAATGATCTATTTTCCTCCGGGTATATACCCAGTAATAGGATTTCTGGGATGGATGGTAGTTCTAAGTTCTTTAAGAAATCCCTAAACTTTTCTTTAAGAAACTTCCACAGTGGCTGAACTAATTTACATTCCCACTAACAGTGTATAAGCGTTCTGTTTTCTCTATAGCCTCACCAGCACTGTTGTTCATTGACTTTTTAGTAATAGCCATTCTGACCAGTGTAAGATGGTATCTCATTGTGATTTTGATTTGCATTTCTCTAATGATTAGTGATGAGGAACATTTTAATATTTTTGTTGGCTGCTTATATATCTTTTTTTGGGAAGTGGCTGCTCATGTCCTTTGCCTATTTTTTAATGGGGTTATTTGTTTTTTGCTTGTGGATTTGTTTAAGATTCTTATACATTCTGGATATTAGACCTTTGCCTGATGCGTAGTTTGCAAATATTTTCTCCCATTCTGTAGACTGTCTACTCTATTGATAGTTCTTTTGCTGTACAGAAGCTCTGTAGTTTAATTAGGTCTCACTTGTCAATCTTTGTTTTTGGTGCAATTGCTTTTGGGGACTTAGCCAAAAATTCTTTGCCAAGGCTGATGTC